AAAAAAAAAAAAAAAGAATCTGCTGTGTGTGTGAAAATGAGGTCAAAATTCCAAAAAAGCTCAGTTCACATCAAGAACCCTATAGGAGAAGAAATTATCTGTCGTCTTATTAAAGAAGGACCTGTCACCTTTCAGATAATAATAGACTTTGGCATAACACTAAGTAGATTTTTCTACAAAGGGAAAGGATGCCCAACATGTCATAATATCACGGACAATTATAAGCTGGTTACAGATGGAGGCCAAAAAGAATTACTACAACTAAAGGAAAAAGATTATGCTAGTAAAATGGATCCTGTTCCTCCAATAGAAGAGAAGTACCCTTATATGGTTCAAGAGTGCCCTAAATCACAGGGTTTGCTTGTTGAACAAGCTCTACCAAAAGCTAAACTGAAAGAAATTGCAGCAGAATCTGATGTATGTTCAAGGAAGGATACGAGAATGTCTTCAATAAGCTCCAACAACACAGTCTCCCTGCGTTCAAATTTTCAGCTGGTATGGGTGATGTACTAGAAGAAGTTACCCTCAGGCTGATGTTGATCATCCAAACGTCAGAGTCGTGACTAACTCCATGGATTCTGATGAAAATGGGGTGTTCCAAGGACCTAAAGGAGAACTAGTTCATGAATTTAATAAACATGGTAGGGCTTTGAAAAACACAGAACATCTCAAATCAACTATAATACAGTAACAACACAACTCTGCTGGGAGATTCCCAAGGAGGCTTGAGAATTGCAGACGGACTAGCCAATGTTGAACATGTTCTGGAAACTGGATATCTAAATGATAGAGTAGAGGAGCTTCTAGAAAAGTACATGGAGGGGCACCTGGGTGGCTCAGTCATTAAGCGTCTGCCTTCAGCTCGGGTCATTGTCCCAGGGTCCTGGGATGGAGCCCCGCATTGGGCTCCCTGCTCGGCGGAGAGCCTGCTTCTCCCTCTCCCTCTGCTTGCTGCTCCCCCTGCTTGTGTTCCTGCTCTTGCTATCTCTCTCTGTCAAATAAATAAATAAAATCTTTAAAAATAAAAAAGAGAAAAGTACATGGACCCTTATGATATTGTTTCAGTAAAAGATGAATCATTGACTGTCTTACAGAAGATTCTGTAAACAAGCATTCTTTAAGACCTCTTTCCTGTGGATGCAACTGATACAAGAACTGCTTATCCATTCATCTTGCTCAAAAACTCTTATTTATAATATATTCTTGCCCTTGAAATTTTCCTTTGCATTACTGAATATCTTCAGACACATTGAACCCATCAACTGGAAGCTCTTCTTTCTTCACCTCTCTCAATACAGTCCTCACCACACTTTTTGACAGATTAAAAAAAAAAAAAAAACAACCCAAAGAAACTTAAAGCCAAAATTTGAAAACTCCTCTAACTTTTCCAAAATGAATTTTGTAGTTTATGTTATCACAAAGTTTTTTTTAAAGGATTTTATTTATTTATTTGAGAGAGTAAGTGAAAGAGAGCACAAGTGGGGGGCTGGGGGAGCAGCAGAGGCAGAGGGAGAGGGAGAAGCAGACTCCCCGCTGAGCAAGGAGCCTGATGTGGAACTCCATCCGAGGATCCTGGGATCATGACCTGAGCCCAAGGCAGATGCTTAACCAACTGAGCCACCCAGGCGCCCCACCACAAAGTTTTTTTAGGGCCTTTTTTATACTGGCAAAGTTTGTAGAAGTTAAAAAGTTTTATGAAATGGTGAGATGATGTGCATGACTTTAAGTTTTGCTCTTTTTATAATGTGGGTGAATTATGCTGATGGCATAATTCATAATAACCATCTCCTGATATTGTGTTATGTGTGATTATTTTGTTTTTGGAACATTAATATTTACCATAAAATATTGCCACTTGGCATTTGAAAAAACTCTTGGTATCCACATGTCACTAATCATTACAAGATGTTCTGTAGTGAAGCACTGATAATTATCATGAAATGAAAAGCAAAACTAAAAAACAAAACTCACACATGATCCAACTATATGCTGCCTATAAGAGACATACGTTAGAGTCAAAGAAAGAAACAGGTAGAAAGTGAAAGGATAGAAAAAATAAACCATGCAAATAGTAATCAAAAGAGAGCTGGGGGTGGTGCCTGGCTGGATCATCTGGTGGAGCAAGCGACTCTCGATCTCAGGGTTGTGAGTTTGACTCCCACATTGAATATAGAAATTACTCAAAAAAAAAAAAAAAAGAACAAGAGCGAAGTGGTAGTGGCTGTACTAATATCAGACAATATTGTTAATAAGAGACAAAAAAAGACATTTTATACCGATAAAAGAGTCAATTCATTAGAAAGACATAATAGTTTTAAAAATACATATGAACCGAGCAATAATGCCCTAACAAACATGAAGAAAACCTGACAGAATTAAAGGGAG